TTCAGTAAAAGCTGCTGAATGAGTAACTGGTGAGGGAGCTCAATGACGTTGGGAAGGCCTACCCATTTCCTTCTTTCAGCAGATACACAATACAGTTTTTAATTGTATTGCTTCCAATTTTATAGCTTATTTTTTAAATGTTTAATTCTAACCAAAACCCTGAAAACTTCACATTTTTATCTAATTAAGTCAATGAAATGAAACAAATAAAGGGTATCACAAAAAGTATGCCCATTCTAAGAAGCTTAACTACATTTTTAAGCCTTAAATCTATTTAAGAATTAAGACTCACCCTCTTCCTAAAGCACCTAATACAGCAAAGCCATCATGCTTTCACACATGCTATTCCCTTTGCTTAGAACTTTTTTGATGTCCAGTTCATTCTCTTTAGGAAGTTTTTTTCTGATCCCAGAGTAAGGCAGATGCCCCTTTTCTGTGCTTCTAAAACAGCCTGTACCTACCACTACAGGGTGACAAATAAAGTATCATCCAATGTGGGATGCTATATCTATCACCACACTTATGGCAGGGGATTATAATTATGTGGCTTTCCTGCTTTGCTGTAAATTCCTTGAGATTAGGGCACTGTCTTAATCATCACTGTGTCCCTGAACCTCTAACAGTTGCCTGATATTTGGTTTATGTTTGATCAGTTTTTGAATAAATAAATGTTGAAGTAGATAAGTTTTATTTTGCTCATCTTTTTCCCTCTCATTATTTAAATCATGGCAACTTTTATATAAAAGGTGGGGGCCGAGTTGTATGTGAAACAGTTTATTCTTGTATTATTTATTTATAGCATACTTTTAAAAAAATTTTTAGAGAGACAGAAACATCGATTTGTTGTTTCACTTATGCATTCATTGGTTGGCTGCTTCTTTTGTGTGCCCTGACCAGGCATCAAAACCACAACCTTGGCAAATAGGGATGATGCTTTAACCAACTGAGCTACCTGTCTTGTATTATTACTTATTAATTATTGTATTATTTTCCCATATGAACTGTAAAGCTACTTTTGCCCTACCCTGTAGTAGCCAAAAACTTACAAAGGAATTTCCCATACAGTATACAACTGATTCTCACAACCCTGAGGTAGGTATTTTTATTAACTTCATTTTGTAAATGAGGGAACAGTTCAGTGGTTGATATCAAATGCTCATACTGTAATTAGAAGACGAGTCTCAAACTATCTTTTGATTCAGAGCCCTAGGCTTGTTTTTATAAACGAGACAACACTCTAGCAATGACAATTAACTCAAGTGCCCCTTTGGAATGAACATTCTAGGCCTCCCAGAGTCACCCTATTCTCATACTGACCCAAATGGCAAGCAGAATGCCTACCCCTTCCCCACCTCCTCTTCCATCTGCTGACTCCCACTGCCCATGAGGGAAAGCCCTTACCTACTACTAAAAATTTAACAGAGGGTAGAGCTCTTCAGTGTTCTCTCAAAAGGATTACATACATCTCAGACAACAAACAAACTCTGCTTGGTGATTTACCTCTTTAATTTTCCAATTTTATTTTGAAAATCATTTTAAACAAAGTAGAGCAGTGTAAAAAACATGCATATCCCCAGCATCCTCAAATAACCAGTGTTGTGATTAAATATCTATGTACTGTCCCGGCTGGTGTGGCTCAGTGGATTGAGTGCCCTGCCTGTGAACCAAAGGGTCACTGGTTCGATTCCCAGTCAGGGCACAAGCCTAGGTTGTAGGCCAGTTCCCCAGCTGGGGGCACGCGAGAAGCAACCACATATTGATGTTTCTCTCCCTCGCTGTTTCCTTCCCTTCTCTCTCTAAAAATAAATAAAACAAAGTCTATGTACTATTTGGGGGCTTTGTTTTCAAAGTATCATCAACTACTTCACAGCTCATTCTTCTTGAATATACCAGGTTAAGTAATGAGTGATTCTGCACTTTCACTAAGATCGCTTGTAGTTACTGTACAAGCCACAATATAAATATAGTTAGAAATCTATCTTAAATATGTACTACCTCCTTCCATGGCACATCTGAAAACCACAGTCATTAATCCCTGTCTTTCCTCTAATTTTCTCTCCTTGATGCTTGGCATGCTACCTCTGGATATAGGAACCCCTCATCCTACATCAGCACAGGAATATCTTGGCAGTGGTCTTCATGGCAAGTTCACCCACTCCTTCCCAACTATAAATTATGATACTCTCTACCATTTGAGGTTTTTATTTTGTTTCAAGGAGTTTGGCTGGTATAAATCAACCCATGAGAGGCTGGCCATCAATATTAAAACAGTGTGAGAACTAGCATTAGCCCACCAAGGTACAGTAAGTACTTCATTAGGACAGACCTAAAATAGCAGCCCTGTTATATTTAATCTCTCACATCTGTTACTTAATCCCAGAATTTCAAATCAGCCCAATGCAAAACATTTCCCTTTCCTCTACCTGGTCAATGCTCACCAACCTGAGAGGTGAACAAAGAACATAAACCCATGAATCATCTGACAGGCCATCCCCAGGCAGAGTGAGGCATGCACAACAGCACACTTACAATCAAATCTTGCCTTCTCTCATTTTACACAAGGAATTGACTGTTAACAGTGATTATCTCTGGGGAGTGGGAGTCAGAGTGACTTTCATCTTTATATTTTATGTAGGTTGAATTTTTATAAAGAGCATGGATTTTATAATAAAGTATTTCCATTTTGAGAAAAAAAAAAGGGGGGGGCATGAATCACCTTTAATTTGGTTCACATAAGAATATAAGAATTGCCCTGGCTGGTATGGCTCAAGGATTGAGCGTCTGCTTAGGAACAGAAAGGTGCTGGTTTAATTCCTGCGCTCCTGTCAGGGTTGCAGGCCCATCAGGTCCCCAGGTGGGGGCGTGCAAGAGGCAATCAGTTGATGTTTCTCTCACACGTTCATGTATTTCTCCCTTCCTCCCCTCTCTCTAAAAAATAAATAAAATCTTCTTAAAAAATTGAATATAAGAATAAATAACAAGATAATTTCAATATTTTATGGTAAGAAATACTAGCACAAGAAGAAACTATCAGGAGAAAACATCCTATAGAGACCAAAGTGACCTCTCAAGAAATTGTTTCTCAAATATACCTCGGTTTTTGGGGAAGACAACAGATTTGTAGCTTAATAAAAAAAGCTATGGAAAATTTTCCGTATTTTATCCCAAATGGTTTCCTTCCCTTTTGGACAAAAAGTTAATAGCAAAGGCTTAGCACTTTTTCCTAGATGAAGGAGAAGCCTGAAAGTAAGCACTTTTCTCCTGCACATTCGAATGTGAAATGGTGCTATAGTACAAAAATTTAAGTATAAAAGTAAAATCAAAACACAAGGTCAAAAACCAGTGGCTGAGACTGTGTTGTTCATGCTTTACTAAGGTCCTGGTTAGACATGGTTTCTCTTTTCTCTGACAATGATGCACTAGCTCGCCCACACCTCCACCCCAAAGGAGGCCACTATATTGGAGTGAGAAGAGAAAGGCTCCAGGAAAGACCGCTCAACCTCAGTTATTCTATAAGATGAAAATTTGGTAGTAATAGAGAAAACTTTTTAAATGAGTATAAGATGTTATTTGAAAGCTCTACTGCAGGCTGTCTTTATTAATCTTTGGAAAAGCACTTCATCTCCACTATGTTTCAATTTTCTCTGTTTAAGATGATGAAGCTACTATCTATCCCAAAGCTGTTTAGCTATTAAGACTACATCAGCTATCCAGCAAGTGATTCAAAAGAAAAGTTTTGAGGTTCTGACGGCCAGTTCTCTGTCAAGTTTCATCTCTTTTTTTTTTTTGTATCCCAATTCTCATCATATCCATTTGCACTGACAAAGTTTCACAGACCTAATTTCACTGTTTCAAAGGAGAAAACGGTGATTGCTTTGATATTATCCCAAGAACTGCATCCTTCACCAACTCTGTTCCAGAATGGCTTGAACTTCAGCTCAAGAAACTGATTCTAAGTGTCCTCAAAAAGCCTGGGGCCTCCTTGGGTTCGAGTGTCAAAGGGAAAATTTTTCCTGGAATAATTTTCCTGCCGTGATACTGCATGGAAATACACTTAGGCCAGTGGAGAATCTGCGCGTGCCGACCACGCTGATTTAGAAATATTACTACACACATACCAATGCCCTACTGTCTCTAGAAAACGTCAAGGACTTTCATCAACATCTCCCTGGCGCTCCTAATCTGGAAAATGTCATGTCAGCCTTTTAGATCATGCAGACGCGTTGGTTAGATAGAATGGGGGAGTGGGAAGGAGACTGAGCTCAAGATCCAAGCCTACATATTTTACTGGTAATGACTCCCGATCTACATCCAACACATTTACCGAACACTAACAGAACTTCTAGTAAGCGCCCACCACGGGAAGCGAAAGCACTTTTTCCCAGGAAAAAATATCTTTTCCACTGAAAATTCCCAAACCCGAGACCTACCACTTTCTACTGAACAAAAAGCTTGTGTGCCGGCAAGAGGGGGTGGGAAAGAGCGTGGCAAGAATTTGCACGGCTCTTACGCCTCCTCCCTCGGAGCGCGCCCAAGTCTGCGGCCTCAGGCTCCGGGACACTTCCCCCCTCCCACCCGCCGAGGAGCCGCAGCTGTAAGTTGAGAGAAGCGGGCTCTAGGCACGTCAATCAAACGGGTCCTCCCGCCTTCCGTCTACACCTCCCTTCCCTACCCCCCTCTTAAAAAAATAATAATAATAATAAAGGTAGATAAAGAAAGGGAAAAGAAGGTAAACGATGTGGGAACTAGTCTCCGCGGGGGCTTCTCCTCCGACCGAGGGAGGCCGCACGTCGCGGACCGGACGCGCCGGCGGGCGGCGGGATCGAGCAGGCGGCCCGGCAGCCGCCAGTAGCCGGGTCTTCGCAGCGTGTCCGCTGCGCTCGGGCTCCCCGCACGGGTCGGCGTCGTTCCGACCCCGCACTCCGCCAGGCCCCGCGGCCCGCCGCTCTGAGGCGCGGGCCAAAGTTGCGCAAATAGTCCCACAACTGGCAAATACTCACCGGCCACAGCGGGAACCGAGGTTGCGGAGATTTTAGGGAGTTTAAGGCAAATCAGCCACGGGAAAGGCGGGCGGAGGCGACGGGGCCGCGAGCTGCAGTGGCGGCGAAGCGCGGGCGCTCGGGCTGGGCTGCGCGGAGAGGTTCTGGCTCTGCCAGGGACTGTGCTGCAACAAAGGACTTCCGCTGCCGCACAGCCGCGCCTGCCGCACCGCACTGAGCCGGCCCCGCTTACGCGGCGACTCCGGGTCTGCCCACCAGTTCGCTGCGGCGTCCGCCAGCCTTCCCCTCCCTCTCGCCCGCCCACCCACTCCGCCGCTGGCTGCTAGGGGCACCCGCGGTCGCCTGTTTGTTACAAGTTTCTGCGTCGGGCTCTGAGGAGACCGGCGCAACCCGCACCGCGGGGGCCCGGCACGGCGGTGGCTTGACCACCCCTCTTGCCCCTCTCCCAAGGGTAGGCTTGGGAACTCCTCCTCTCGTTTGCACAGCTGGATGGGACTGGGCTACTTCCGACTCCCCAAGGGCTAGATGCTGCTTTCCCACACTGTCCAGATGTCAGACCCCTGCCCGGGAGGACCCAGCAGCTGGGCCCTGCCTCGCGATATGTACCAGGCGTTCTAGGGGTACCGGCAACCTCGTCCAGTCCTGGACGTGTCCAGTGCGTTCAGGGTCGCCCATTCCTCACGCTCCCCCCACCCTACCTTCCAAGGGCCCGTCGGCCTCTGGCCTTGAGTCACTTCCCCCGCCATGCTCCACCCCACCCAGCCAGGCTCCCCTAAGCTCCCGGGGCTTAGTTTCCCTGGCCCCGCGCCCTCATCACTCTTTTTTAGGACGTGCGGACGCATCTTTCCCCACCCCCACTCCCGAACTGAAAGGGTGCCCATGCTTTTGGACATTCTGGGGAAAGTCCCCAGGTCACGCGGTTGTGTGTGGGAAGCATGTAACGCCCAGGCTCATCTCCACGCTTCCGCCTACAGAGTCACGACTGGGGACTGTGGCGGAGGCGGCCGAGCGCGGGCCAACCCCTCCTGACCACTAGAGCGGGTGGGCGGGCTTGCACGTAAGCACGCACGCACACCCCGGCCCCTGCGCTCCCCGTTCCCGGCTACCGGGCGCGCGGTCACGTGGGCCCACCACGGGGCGGCCGGCGCGGGAAGCCGCGCGAGAATGGACCGCGGGGTGCGTGAGCTGGCGCCGCCGCGTGACGCTTGCGACGCGGGAGCCGCCCCTCCCGCATGGAGGAGCCGGCTGGCCGCCGCAGCGGCGTCTGGGTAAGCGACGCAGCCCGGCCCTTGTGGGCTGCTCCAGGCTCAGTCCCTCCCGCCGGGAGCCGCCTGGGGTGGTGGTGGCCTGCAGCTGCGCCGGTCATGGAACAGATGCAAGTAGCTGGGGAGAGGGGTATATTTTTGGTCTGTTTGACATGTCAATCAGGGCAAGGAGGAAAATGGCAACCGCGAGTGAGCGCTGGGCTGAGGATGCCCATAGCCGCCCTTCGTTTTCCGCACAAGGCAGTTGTCGGGGCCTGATGCAGGCTGGTACCGCGCGCGAGCACGCCTGCTTCAGGCCGGACTGTGACTCCGCGTGGGCAGCCCCCACTAGAGTGCGGCGTTCCACAGGCGGCCCATCTGACCCCTTTAGCAAGTGGGTGGGTTTTCAGGTGCAGCCTGCCGATGCTAATATTCTCCCTCTCCCTTCCCACCCCCATTTGTGATTACCTTGTTTCTAGAGCAGAAAGCACCCCTCTTGTCCCATAATTCATTTCTCTCTTTTTTCAGATTGTATGAATCTCATTCTAAGCATATCAAGTTTTCTCTTTTTTTATTATTTTACTTTTTTATTTTCTAGGGAGAGGGAAGAAAACACCGATTTTGTTGTTCCGTTTATTTACGCATTCATTGGTTGCTTCTTGCAGTGCCCTGACTCAGGATGGAACCTGAAACCTCCGGAAGATGCTCCAACCAACTGAGCTACCCAGCCAGGGCCAATTTTTCTTTTTAAAGTTTGCCCCATCTCTCACTTCCTTCCGTAGCTAGCAGTCATGTGGAGAAAACAAGCTGGTCTTGAGCTGCTTAAGCAGCCCCTGACCTTGACAGCAGCTAACATGTTTCATAAATTAATGCCTGATTTCCCTCAAGGGATTAAATTTGGCATTCATTCTCTTGAGAATCAAGTCTTTTTGGTAAAGCTGTTCATTCTCACAGGATTTGTCAAGTGTGTAAAGTACACTTTGTAGTCACAGGTTTTAAAGCTGAAGGGGGCTTTACGGAAAATCCAGTTCATCCCTCTTATTTTACGGAGGAGGACCCCCGGCCTAAAGAGCAAGTGTGTAGCTTGACTGAGGTCCTGCACCTCTTGAGTAACTGGGCTCACCGGCTTGGTCCACCTTGGTCCTTGTGTCCTCTATCACACCAGGAGTGCAGCCGTGCCATTTAAACCCATGCACTGTAGAGTCTGTCTGCCGTAGGGAATTATACTTGGCCTGGTCGAGATTATTGAGAACTGAGGCTTGGCCAGTGTGTGATAGCTTCGGTATTTTAAGAAATGGGGTTGGCACTATTTCTAGGTGAAATAGAATGGCTATGATGTACTTTAGAGCTCAAAGCTGCCCTACCCCTCCCACCCCCTCACCCCGACCCCCATTCAGCCCTGTTCTCTGCATGAATAACCAACATTGCAGCATTGAGTGTTTTCTTAAGGTTAAGGCATCAAAGTCCTCTTTAGTAATCTCGACTTGTTTTAATTAAGAGTAAACTGTTAATCCATTATCAGATATCAGCTCTTTAATACAAAACAAAACAATGATGGGATAGGACATGGAATAGATTAGTCCTGATGGCTGCAAGGTTACCAGGAAGCAGTGCAATATCACCTGAATGGTCAGCAAGGAAGGAGGGAGGGACCTCACATGACTGGCTACACCTATTTGCCCGGCCCTGAATATCTTACCGATATTTGGAGTAACGGAGATGGATTCTGCTCAGGTTTGGTTGCTGTTAATTATTAAGTATCTGCAGTGGCTACCTGTTTTCATAGATGAATTTCGAATACTTACCAAAAGGAGGTAGTATTGTCTCCATATTACAAACAAACGAGGAAACAGGCTCGGAGAGATTTACTTGGCTTCAATGATACAGCCATTTGCAGTAAAATTCAAGCCTAGGTCACTTATCTCCCAAGGCTAGTCTGTGCTCTTTTGCACTGTATCTCACTACCATTTGAAGCCAGGAAGGGATGAGAGAAATCACATGTGGCTGATTTATTGGCGCCTGTGGTTGCCCAGAAAGGCTGAGCAGGACTTTCAGCTGCCCTCTGTGCCTTAGAAAGCGGAGCTGTGTGCTTCCACCCTATCTCCTGAGGGGAATATGAAGGAGCCAGGCTGTCTAGCTGGGGAGGAGGGGCCTAAGTGTCTTGGCGGTAAAATATCCTGGTGAGTGCAGTGCTGGGAAGTGTTGCATAATGCCCTCCCTGCCACTGAACCAAAGTGATTTATGTACTGTGGTCTGTAGGTGCTGCTTGACCATCTTGTTAAAGAAAAACTTGTCCATTTAGTAATAACAGGGCCAGAAAAGAGTTGGGGATTTTATATCATTGCAGGGTTTTTTTCCCTTGTCTTAAAAAAAGGCAGTGCAGGTGCTCTTATCTTGATAAATTATAAACTACTTCTGCACCACTTCCTGTGCTCCCTTTCTGCATATTTATTCCAAATTGCATGTGAATTTCAGTCTTGATAAAAGAATGCTAAGAAAAATACTGCTTCAGTTTACAGTTATGAGCACAGGCTATGGAGTCAGACCTAACTTTGCATCCCCACTTAATACCATTTGCTGGTTATGTGTCCTAAGCCTAGGTTTCTCATCTGTAAGATGCAAAGAAAAAGAACACATAGTAATGGTGAGGACTAAAAGAGATAATGTACATAGAGCACTTAGCACAAGGCTTTGCACAGAGTATTTACTTGTTATAATAGTAGCTATTTATAATAACTAGAACATTTTTATTCTCTCTGGTATAGGAAAGATTTATTGCTCCTTGAATTTGCTTAGCAGGAGTGGAGGAAGAGGAAATAAAGTGTTTGAATCAAACCTCAGTTTCAGGATTATTGATTGAATTTATTAATACTTCCACTTTCCTTTTGCTAGCAGGAATTTGTTTTAACCTTATCTTGAGAAAAAAATGTTTGTAGCGTTAGTTATTTTTGGAATTTTTCTAATTTCTTCCCTGGTTACAAATCAATATACAATGACTTTTTGTTCTTTCTCAAAAACTCTAGGCACTTTAAGCAAATGGTTTCATAAGTCCATGTGGAAAACATGTTTGTGGGACATTCTGTGGCAAAGGAAGTATTGGTTTACCTATATTCAGGAGTTACAATCATTCCTGCTTGTACTGTATTCTAGATCTGTACTAGCAGTATCATTTTCCAACTTTCTCCTGTCCTTTTAGTACCTTATTTTTTCTTTCAGAAATGCAATCTTTATTATTACTATTTTTTTAGTGGACTAAGAAGAATCTTTTCCTTTCCTTCACAGGTTCTGATTTTTTTTAAGGTCCACTGGCAATTTGCACTGAGTGGCGTTAGCGTTTTTGTTTGCCTGTGGCTTTATCAGACATCCCACATGTTGGTTAGGTGGGGGTTAGAGATGTAGCGTAAGCCGCCTGTGTCTGCCAACAGGCAGGAGGCCCCAAACTAACGTTTCCCTGTTCCGTTAAAGGTTTCTAGAGCATAACTGCTCTTCCTGTATCGTCCACCATGTCTGCTTCTTATCCTTTTCTGTAATATTCTCAGTGATTTTTTAAGCAGATACCCAGAATTACTGCAGATTTTACCTCAACCAATATTTTCAGATTTGGAATGTCCACATCATTTTTGGATATTATGAAAATAGGTGTAATGGTAAAAAGAGAGTAAATACCTTTTTTTCTAAATACTTTTTAAAAAGAAGTCTGAAAATGGTGTGTTCCTCCTGTGCCCCCAATGCCCATCCTAATAGTTTGGAAGCACTTTTGTTTCTTAATCTGGCTAATTTTTTAGTTTAAAGTTACAATTACAATTATAATTGTTGATTTTTGCTTGCTTCATGCAATTGGTATAATTCCCATATTTTGAGCACTTCTTGTGAAGTTGTTCCTTTTTCTCTCAATTTTAGAGTGTGAAGTATTTTCTAGAGTTTCTTTGTCCCCTTTTCTAATGCAGTGGCCCTTAACTGAGGTATCTTACTAGAATCGTGCAGAGCTTTTTAAAAAAGGATCTGTGTCTGATTCCCAGCAACTGTTTTTGGGTTGATCTGGAGGACTCAGACTTCAGTACAACTCTACATGGAAAATTTTATCATACAGTCAGCTAAATAGGAGCCACTATTTCAGGATAAAATTATTGTTGCAAATAATCTTTATCTAGGTTATACCTTCACAGTCATGTGAAAGTACTATTAAAAAGTTAAAATCCTTGTATAAAATCTTTTATCACGTGGCAATTTGAATATATCTGCTTTTACCTTTGTATTTATAGCCATGAGTATCTCAAAAAAGCTGTACACAGGCCTCTGCCAACTTTCCTGTCTTCTTGTCTTAATAATTAATAATAAAGTAACAGTGGTAGGAACCACAGAGAAAATATCTAAGACTATTTGTTTTTGACAGAAACAGATGTCTTACTCCATTTGATCCTTTCTTTATTAAAGATTCTTATAGCCTGAGAGAATGAAAAACTTTATTCCAGGACATCAGGCTGGCTACCATGGGTCTGAGAGTCCAGTCTAATACAATAGCTTTTTTAAAAAATAAAAACCAAAGATGTTAAACATCAAGCTAACTTTGAATTAAACAAACATAGATACTGGTATAAAACTTCCAGTTTATTTATTTTGAGCTAATCCAGAGTTACTGCAATCTAGTCAGTAAAAAAGTTTTTTGTTGTGTCTCTTAAATATCAGTGCTAACCCTATTGTAATATAAATACCACTTTGATAACAGATAAAGCAGGTTAAGATTTATCACTCTTACATTTTTGGCTCCAGTATTTGTAGTATAATAAACTGATAAATTATTTTTTCGGCAACCTCTCTCACATCTTAAAATTTCCACAAAAACTCTTAAATGTAACGTCTAAGATCTTTCTGTATGCATAAGGAACTGGTTGTTCCACATAATAGAGAAAATAAAATTGATGACCAAAGAAATGATGAGCAAAGCCTACATAAATAGCCTAGCTAATAATTTGCAGAGCAGGTTGTGTTAGAAAATGTTCTCAGTAACTCTGTAATGGATTGGCTCTATTGACCTGAGGTAAAATTTGGTTGTGTTGCCTTCAAACATCAAAGGTCTATTATTATGCAAACACATTTGAATGAATCTGTTATATATATAAGTTGCTTTTTA